CTTGATACTGATAAGGATTCTGAAGAAATACTAACACTTGAACCAATCAACACCAAATTGACTATCGATGCTACTCCTGAGGGTAAGGCTCCTTCAATTGGGACCGTCGTAGGCTTGTCTCCATACGAACTAGAGGCTTTAAATTGAAGCATATCCCTCGAGTAGTTAAAAGCCATAATCAGTTCCAAGGAGACTTCTTCTGAAAAAAGTTCTAGTGTCTCGACGGTATCAGGAGACAAAGCTTTGAGCGGACCTGGTGACGCTCTATTTCGAAAGATCAAAGCAAAGGCCTTTGATATTGACCTCTTTCAACTTCTTAAAAGAGATATTTTTGCCAGCTTTGTCCCCAAAGATCTCTTGAAGCAAGTGGAAGTGTTGGACACCTCTTCTGAAATTTCTAAAGTTATCATAGAGTTATGGCTGATGATAGATCACGTCATTGCTGACTACAATCGAATTAGGGACGTTTTGAAGGTGATCCTTGCTAAATCAGAGTCTCAGACTGCTGAATGGGAATCGACTGCGAAGTCTACCTCCAGAGTGGCCGAATTAGAAAAAGGATGCGAATAGAATAAAAAGGAAATTGAAGCTTGTGATCAAAACATCACAACTTACGAGGCCTAGATCAAAGAGCTTCAGACTAAGATATCAATGGCTAAGGAGCACGAGGATGTGCTTCAAAAGTTCAACCAGAACGCCCTGAGCCAGGAAGTCGAAGTTGGAATGAAACACGTTGAAAAGGCTCAGGCCTTGGGAAAATAAATTGAGAAGCTTACTTCCCGTATGTCTGTGTGTGAAAAATGTTTGATGTTTCAAAAATTGAAGTACATCAAAATGAATGCGAACATGCCAATCTAACTCTTCAGGTTTAAGAAGATTGAACAGGGGTACCTATTGTACCCCAAAATTTTCCCTCCCATTTTTCTTCAAAATATTCTCATAAAGGTCTCAAGTACTCAAGGCTACTCAAGGGTTGACCAGTCAAACCTCCTCCTAAGCAATGGGCCAACAACTAGGGTTTTGTGTTTTTCAAGGAAGTTTGGGTTGAAAAGGTCTAAAATGGTTTTCATGGTTCTCCATAGGTCTTCAACAATGATCATGAAAAGTTTCAAGTCTTGCATCATAAGTTTGCTCAGTCAATGGCTCAAATGACTGAAAATCAACTGTATTGGGTAAAAAGTCAACTATGGTCAATATACAGTCAAACTTCAAGATTTTTGGTCAACATCAATATTTTGAAGTGATATTCATCATTTGATCAAGGGTTGATCATGATTCCTCAAGGAAAGCCCTCAAATCATCAAAAGTCAAAAGTTGACAAATTAGGGTTTCCTTAGGAGATGCCAACTGAACTTTGACCAAGCATAACTTTCACATGCTTCATCAACTTTTCCCCAACCAAAGCACATTTTTAAGGAAATTCAATTCTCTACAACTTAGTATTTGTATGCTCAAGTCCAAAAACTGCTTCATTTGAGAGATGTGAGCCCATACATTATAGGTCATTTCAAAAGTCAACAAAAAGACACTTTTTGTCAAGGAAGCTTGCATCAAGATAAATTCTCCAAATGCAAAAATGATAAAAAGATAAATTTAAGCAAATATCTTGAAATTTCCAAAAAGTCTAAGATCACCTTCAAAAGATAAAAGATGAGAGAGTTATGACCATTACAAGTTGGGAAATTTTGGTAAAATGCATGAAGTGCAAAGCAAGAAAACTTGAAATTTTAGACGAAATGGGCCTAACTTTTGTTGGTCAAACATGTTCACAATGTGTTAAAGGACCTCTAAATCTATTCACATATTTTTAATGATTATTATTTCTTTTATTTGAATTTTCATTCATTTAAATACAAATTAAATCAAATCAAATATGAGGCAATGTTATAAGGCATGTGGGCTTTTGATTTCAGTCTCATGAAGGCCCAAATCTTTGCCAACTGACGCTAGGAGTTGTGTGGTCTTTTTCTGGAAGTGAATCTTCACATTTTGGAAAGTATTTGAAATCATTTTGGAAACAAATCATGTTTTGATCACACCATGATGGCACAAGATTTGACACTACTTTTGTTGACCTAATTCTACAAGGCTATAAACAGACAAACTCGTCAGAGGCAAAGGGGGCATCTACCACGAGCATAAGGGTTTCAAAACTAAATTTTTTTCAAAGAAAACTTGCAATTTTGTGTAGCAATTTCCAGCCACATTCAAGCAGAACCAAGCACTCTTACCATTTCCTAAACATCTACAGAGTAAGTACAGTTGATTTTCAATGGTTTCCCATGCCTAAAACGATCATGTTCATCATCTCCGATTGCAATTTTTTTCATTAGTTGTATTTTTAATGTTATGCATTGTTGGATATTTCTAACCATCTAGATCAGTTTATATAAATGTTTAGAGCAGGTTGCAGCCATCACATGGAGCTGATAACGTCCAAATCTTAGTTCACCATTTTTGAACCGTGCTAGGGTTTCTTATTAGAAACCCATGATACAAAGACTTTTATCCAAAAAGGACCCTATATTCGAACTCAAGAGGAAATTTTAAGGGGGATAACATGTTTTGTCTGCTTTGATTTTATGTATTTCGTAGGTTCCAAAAATTTTCTCACCAAAGAAGACGTTGGAACCCACCATGGTCGGTGGTTTGACTATTCTGATTGTTTGTGTGGCAAGTTGGAGTGTCGTGATTGACTCTCTCTAAATATCAAGGGCCCACTGGTGTTGATGTGTTTTTTAATTTAAATATAATCGTAATTTTTATTATTTAAAAATTTGTTTGTACTTTAATCAACGAATGTACAGCCACCCTGTCATACCCCATTTTTTGCCCCTAATCTGTTCATTCATAACATCATATGCATTTACATCCTAAATCTTTCAATAATTGGAGATATTAAGACATGGACTCAAATGGCTCTTGATATTAGGGTTTTCCCCTATGAATTGAAGTTACTATCTCTCTCAAGTTGATCCCACTGATCCATTTATCACTCTTGGTATAAAACCAGGGTTTTGATCACAAGCATCATGTATATCCTCCTTAGTCTTCTCCTTAAAGCTAAAAGGGTCATCGTTCTCTCTATTGCAAGTCCATCATCACTTAGGACTTTTCCTAATTACCTCCTCCACAAGACATCCTTGGTCAAATGTCTGGAGGATTGAATCAAGGACTTCCTTCTTGTGATCTTAAATGGTTAAAGATTGATAGAAGATTTCTTCAAATCAAGATGTTTCTTGCTGCTTAAGCTATGAAAAGATAGGATTTCTCCTTGAATTTTTATTATATTTGAGATTAAGGATCATTGTATTAGTGTGTTCACATTAAGATTATCTTGGTCATATTTCTCTCCACACTTCAAAGCATTATTATTCTTTCACGATACTTATTGCTCATATTGCAAGATAGTATGAATTGAAGAGTTGAATTAAGGTTTTATTGGAGGTGATTTAAAGATTCACTCAAGAAATGACAGTAATTCCATATTAATTCAAGAAAATTCATGTAATGGTTTGTATGGAATTCAGATTTGATTATCCAAAAGTCACTCAATGTCAATACAAATTCAAGTCCATTCATGAGAATTTCTTTAAAGGAAAGTTACTTGAAATTTAAGGCATTCTCATTCAACATTGTTTCAAGATTAATCTTCAAATATTGATCAACTGTGCGGGACATAATTCATTCATGTGGATTTGTTTTTGATTCAAGATGTTCTAAAAGATTTCTTTTTATGGTGCAAGTTGGCTAAATTTGGAAGATCCATTCATGTCGTTTGTTTGGAATTCAAATAAGTGCAAGATGCAAGATTAAAACTCAGTAAAAATGAAGTCAAGACTCCATAGTTCATATCATGACATGATTCCAAATGAAAGTTTTGAAAGCAGGTATCATGGTTCAAATTTCCTAGCATATAAATTTGGATATTCTTAAGAACCAGTTCAGGCATTACAAGGCATTCAAGTTCCATGTTGATTTCAAGATACAAACATATTCAACAATCTTCAAAAAAAATCAATCAAATCAAGATTCAATCTACATGTTCATTCAAGAACCTTGAAGTTAATACAAAAAACCAACGCTATTCTCCTAAAACTTTGCCCAAACTCGTGAAGAAACCTGAGTTCACAACTTGTACTAAAGCTGCCCTGCATTTACATCAGAAAACAAATTCAGATTCTAATAATAAAAAAAGAAGATGAAATTTGAAAACAAAGATGCCTTAGGAACCTTCTTTGATGATTTGAGAAGATACTCACTTTGCAACAAGCTTGAAGCCTGGGACTGCGACAGCATAGTGAAGTGGTGAGATGATAGTACAGGTCAAGAATTTTCCCATTTACAGAGAACATGAAAAATGGCTTAATCTGTTTACTCCTCCCCAGTATGACTTACACATTTTTCTAGTGGAAGTCATATACACGCGCCAAGCTGAAAACACAATCTTGAATAAAAATTCATGACAGAAATACATTCGTAGAAATTAACACCCAGCTCAAAAAAAATAGAATAGAACAAAATCAGTTGAGAAAATTGCAAAACGGATTTTGGGAAAAGAATTAAAAGCTTGCTCTAGAAGTTTCTGATATGGCCAGCTTTTTCAAAATTTAGAAATACAAAATAATAGAAAATTTGCAAGCTGGTATGAGAATCCATCCTATCCATTCATATGATAACTAACTATCCAAAGATTCAATGGTTCAGATTGATTTTTAGCTGTTGAGAAGCTTCTCAGACAAGCCAAGCAACTGATATATAGCAGACTTCATCTTTAGATGTTTAGGGGGAGGAAAAAAATAATACGTGGATTTCTGCAGAAGCTTCAGAGAGAAGTTTCAGAATTCTTTCTGAAGTTCTGTGAAGCTGCAAAATTCCACTGCAATTTCTCGCCTAATCCTGATCTCAGAAAGCTTCCTTTGCAGAATTCCTTTGCATTTGCTCCGTGCCTCTAATATTCATTGCACAACATCATCAATATTCATCAATCATCATCATTAATGCAATATTGTCTTTGCTCCCAATCTTCATTAACCTTCTCCAACGCAACACCAATTTGCGCACATATCATTGCATCAACAAATGCTCCTTCTTCGAAAATATTCGACGAATTTGCAAACATCTCGCATCACGCGCAAAAAGTAAGAAATTGTGTAGAATCAGAAAAGAGAAGAAGAGAGATGTTTGAAAGTGACGGGGCATACCTGAAAGACCTCTGGTTTTCCGTTTGATTACGCCTCCATAGAAGAACCACCGGAGTGTCTCCGGTCGGTAAGCAATGATTTATTCGTACTTCCTCCTTCTCTCTTTGTTATCTATATCGTTGCACGTTCTTGGATTGAATCGTTGTCTGAGTATTGGCTTTACTAATAGTAGGCTTAGGTTGTTAGTGTTGAACGAACTTGATTCGGTGATCTTGAGAAGAATAAAGCACGCGAAGTTGATACACGACTGAAGCGCAAAATCACAAGTGGACGGAGAGGCAATGGTGACTGTTGAGACAGCGACTTTGAGCGAAGGCGAATTGGAGATGAGCATCGAGAGAAAACAAACGAAGATGATGATTGGAGTTTGCTATAGCAGCGGGAGCGAGAAGTTGGAGATGTTGACGGAAACACCGAGTTTGAATTGAAGATGACGAAGCCGCGATGGATAAGAGATGGAGACAGCGGTAGCTCGCCAATGAACACCGGAGAAGACGCACCACCGTTTGAAGTTGAGGAAGAAGTGTGTTGGAAGGAGGTCAAATGATAACTCCTTAACCATAATGCTCTTAAAACGACACCGTTTCTTTTTATTTTATTTGTTTATTTCATTTTTTTGTATACATTTTTATTGAAAACAAAAATCTGCTATTGGACCATTCAGTATGGGCCTTGCACCTAGGATTACTTCCCCACACCTTTAGTCATAATTTCACACCTCCTCTATTTCCTTGTTCTTCTTATTTTTTATTTTATTGTTTTAGTTTTAATTTCTTTTATTTTAGGCATTAAAATAATAAAAATAATAAAAAGAGATTAAAAAAATATACTTTAGGCTTTTTATAAATAGTTTAGGATTTAATTAGATTTTATTCCTATTATTCCTTCATACTTTTAATTCCTTTTAAATCAAATTTACACATCATGTTTTATGTATTTTCTTTGTGTATTGATCAAATAAGACGCTTGAAAATTAAGGTTTATTTTGCGTTGAAATACTATACTCCTTTAGGATTCCATGAGACGATTAATCTCCCTTTTGATCGTCTTATATTGATTAGACTTTAAGATGTTAATACAAGCATCAGAATAGATTTTGCCTTCTTGCTTCAGGATAATTCCTTCATCTTCTTTAAAATCTTCACTCTCCTTTTGAAAACTCTTCTTGTTTCTAACTTGAATTGCTTTCGCAATAAACTTGGATTTAGGTCCATGCCCTTTTCCAAAAATCTTTTCTTAATAAACTTCAATCAATTTAATAATACTTTGACATTTTTGTGAGAAGACTAAAAGTCAACCAATCTCATTTCAAACCATTTTTCCCCTTTGGCTTTTACCTTTAAACTTTTCTTAAAAGATTAGACTCTTGTCAATCCTTGTAGTGATGCAAACAACTATACTTCTACAATATATAGTGAAGAGAGATATTTTCCACTTGGGTGTTGAGTGAGGCATTGTTGATTTTAAAATCCAAGCCATATCCTTCACTTTGAGATGATGCAAATTCTCCTTTCTCATGATTGTGGGTAGTAAGTATGTTTTCCACACGAACAATGACGATGATGTCTTATCTCATAAAATTAACCAACACACTTGTATTTCAAACTTTTAAAAGAGGAACTACGTGTACCATGATCCCTTATTACACGAAAGGTGGTATGTAGGCACTAAAGGTTCGCAACCGCGGCGGGTGCAAAAATCATAAAAAATATATTTCTTCTCTCACCTCCACCATCCATTTCATATATAACACATTTTTTTAGCCAAAATATATAGATTTTACAAAGAGGCTCCTGGGGAGTACCGTAGATGTTTAGGGTGCTAATACCTTCCCTTTGCATAACCAACCCCCTTACCTTGAATCTTTCCCCCTTTTTTTGGGTTATTCGCTCTTTTCCCATTCCTTTGGAAACAATTGCGGTGGTGATTTTTATTTTGATTTGTATAAAGTCTAGTCAATCCAATGGCTTAGTCTTGAACATTTCTACTGCTACACACCCTAGTGGCAAGCGAGCGCACATTAAGACATATATGTCCCAGGGCGTGGGTTCAATCCTGGCACTTTGCAACATTTTTTTCACATATTTTCTCTTTCACATATCCATTACTAAAACAGCTAGCGCACATCATACACCCCGTCAATCATCACCATGCGATCCAGATCCAACAGTCCATATCATATTTCCACGCAGCACCCTCAAGGGTTTCCCACACAGGATCAGGCGCTAGAGCTTATTGGGCTTTGGACTTAGATTACTGCACACACACCCCATAATTACTCATTCAGGCCCATCTTTTCCTTTTTTGTTATTTTGTTTCAATGTCTTTTTTTAACCTTTTTTTAATTAACTAAAATCAATTTAGATTTAGTTTTTTTCTTTGAAATCAAATTAACTTAAACTTTTTTATTAAATTAATTAAATTATTATTTTTTTAATTAAATTAATTGAAATATCTGACTTAGTTTCTTTAGGGTTTTTTTATTATTAATAATCAATTTTTTTCTAAATTAAAAAACAATTAGGTTAGATTAATCATCATTTTTTATCAATACATTTTTTTCATATCTTTCCCTTTTTACAATCTTCACTTTTTTCTTATTTTCGCATTAACTTTTCATAATTATGTAATTGTGGATGGTTTGTAATAGCTTAAACTAGGGTTTACTATTTTTCCCATTCTGTGGTTTTGTACCCCTTCCCCGAAGCCTTGTAATAATTTAGATTTATTTCTTCCGCATTTTACCGCTTTCCTTATAACTGCTAGATGTATGCTAATAGGTTTGTATGGAAAGACTAAAAGCAAATGATAGCTAACCCTAATTGAAGATTAAAATTAACTGAAATCAAATCACTTTTCACACACTCACCTTTAGGGTAACCCCACTTGCTGCCTTCGGATAAAGCAGTCATGTCCCTCGAATATGGGACGCTTTAGCAAAGACCCTCGATTAAAAGATCGTCGTCCCTCGTTGACCCTTCGATGCTGCCTCGGTAAATGATTTTAGTTTCTCACGATAAATTGCTAAAGTTTCTTACAAGTTGCCTTAATGACGTACGATGACTCGCGCCTGTCCCTCAAACATCCAACGATAGGGCTTCCTACTAACCAATGGTAGGATAGCACTATTTAAAGGAAGAGGAAAAGAACAAAAGACTTTTGAGTAGGTAGATAGTTCTTAATCGCTTGCTCGCAAACATTTCAAAGCATTTTTCATACAATGACACTTTTTGCAACAAATATTTTCAAAATAAACATTTTGTACGCGTTCTCAACGATACGAGAATCATTACAAAATTTCCGCACTTAGGCATATTCAAAATATTTTCAAACACACAAAGCATTTTTTAAAGTGAGCTAGCGGTTAAGAGCTTGTAGATAACTAAGGATGAAAAGGGTGCTAATACCCACCTTTTCATAACTTACCCCCCTTACTCAAAAAATTCTCGAAGGTCTTTCCTGTTCTTTTCACCCTTTCCTTTATTGGATAAAAGAAAAGTCGATGACAACTCTTGCTATCCGCAATATTTGCAATAAAATGCAAAATATAAAGTCAGTTCTCCCACTGTATTACAGATACTAATCTTCATTTTTCCTTCTTTAACAAAGAAACTACTCTCCATGACTCACCCATTATTCATCACGATCTAATTTCTCCCTCTCTTTACGAAATGTATGAAAAGACAATTTCTGATAATCGTGGAGCTGTTGAAATTTCCACAATTGGACCTTTCACTTGTTCTGAACTTTTTGATATGACTAAATAAATGATATCACAAAATCCTTCTGATCAAACTTCTGAACTAAATCATCCTGAACCTACCCAAGCCTTGGTTGTTTATGAAAAAATGGCTCCAAAAACCTTGGATGAATGCATTAACATTTTTTGAATCAAGGCTAAGAAAAAGGTTGATAAGTTAAGGGCAGAGGCAAGTACGAGTACTGAGCCTCAGAACATGGATGGTTCTTAGAAACTTTTTCAGAAGTGGATTTCTTCTGAAGTTGAAAGAATTAATTCTTTTGCTGAAGTATCTAGAGTTTAGGATGTTCATATGGTAATTGAAAGGAAAGAAACAAGAGAAAGAATCAGACTGTTTGAACTGCTTACTGCTAAACAACGAGAAGATGATGCAACAGTGTTGGAAGAAGCATAACAAGCAAGACTTAAAGCTCAAGATGTTATAATAACGGGTTTTCAGAGGAGAACAATGGGTTTTCAGAGAAAGCATCATTGAACAAAAGTTTCTCAATGATAAGGTTCAGAACATGCTACAGCTGATTCTACAAAAGATTTTTGCTCCTTCTTTTGCTCCTCAACCCTAGGCTCTAGGATTTTATTTTTCCTTTTACTTCTGAACCATAAGATTATGCTTTCTAATTAATTTTTGTGACTATTGTTTTAATTTAGTTTGATATTTCTGCAAGTCTTCTTTTTGGATCTTAGTTTGTTCTACTTTCTTCGACTCACTTATTATGTGACCTTTTGAAATTAATGAACTCTTCTTTTGGCTTATCACTTATTTTCTTACTTGTTATCTTCTTCTGGTTTTTATCTTTTTCGCACATAATTACCTTTTTGATTATGACAAAAGGGGGGAGTAATTAAATGAACGTAATTTTGATTTCAATAATCAAGTTCTGGAAAATGTTCTCTTAAAAGAGTTTCTTAGATTCTAACCCAGTTAAAATTATGTTTCTATTAGAATTGCTTTATTTTTTAGGAAATGAGAAATCTGATTAAAGACAAAGATCTGAAAGCATTATGCAAGGCCTATGTCTAACCTGTTGGCTTCATACTTGGATCCAAGAATTGAAATCTAGAATCAGACTCTAAGAATTAAAATTTGGAATCAGACTCCAAGAATTGAGAATCTGAAAGTTGTCTTAGTGACATTAAAGTTTCAAGACTTCAATTGATCTCATTTTCATTGGCATCTAGAGTCAAGACTCTCAAGATCTCAATATATGATCTATTGGAACCAGGGGGAGTTCTACTCAAATGGTTTAGAGCAAGGATATTTGATCTTCATCAAGTCATTGACTCATGGGGGGTTTCATAAAAAGGATAAGTATTCCTTACCATTTTATTTTTAATTTTCTGATTATGAACAAAATTGTGTCATCAAAATACATAGTTTTGTCATCATCAAAAAGGGGGAGATTGTAAGTACAAGATTTAGTTCTGCAATATTATCTGAGTTTTGATGACAATAAATGAGTATGTTTGTATGCAAAATTTTGATACTCTAATTGAGTATTTAACAAACAGGTTCTACTTCTGATGGATGGCATGGCCAAGACATTAGAAGAGAATTAATTCCGCTTTTGTGCTACACAAGATCTGATAAACAGTAGCAAGACACTCCCGAAGACTCTGAAGTGTAGGCTCTGATATGAAGTCTAAAGAAACCAATAAGAAGATCTGATAGCAATTGTTGCGGATAGAAAGAGTCTCCACCAACTTTTCTTTTATCGAATAAAGGAAAGGGTGAAAAGAACAGGAAAGACCTTTTGAGATATTTTTTTGAGTTCGGGGGGTAGGTCATGAAAAGGGAAGGTCTTAGCACGCTTTTCATCCGTAGTTATCTACGGGATCTTAGTTGCTTGATCACTTTGAAATGCTTTGTTTGAGATGTGTTTGTGATTGTTTTTGAAAGTATTTTTGAAAAGTGCCTTCGTTTAGGAGAACTTTGTAATGATTCTCGTCT